ACAAACTTTGCAGGCAGAATTCAGGAGTCCAGTTTTGATTGTCCAGTTCTGTTTAAAGAACTCCTGTGACTGAAAATACATCCCACAGTGTCTTTTAGTTTCTTGTATATATTCTCTCCACCACACAAAATCACCTAAAGCTACTCGTGGAAGAATGTAATGAGCAACACACTCAACACATCATTCCACTAGAAAAGCAAGTACACCTCAGTTTAGAACCAACTGCTACATCTTTTGCATGTTTTATTTTTGACAGTATAAACATTCATCTGGATCTCTGTATCTTTATAGATCTATCTGTTCTCAAGATCCACCTTTTAAGAAGACTGCAGAAAATGAACATGTACTGAAGGCTGACCATGTGTCATCTCATGGGGAACTTGCATATCTTAGGTACTGAGGTATAATTACCATAAAATTAACCTATTTGAAATAAACATTTCAATGAGTTTTAGTAAACGTATGCACTGGTATACATATACTGGTATCTTCTATTACTCTAAGAAGCATCCTCATACCATCTGGCATCGATCTCTGCTCCAAGCCTCCAGTCCCAAACAGCTTCTGATCTGCTTTGTCTTCTTAATTCTGCCTTTTATAGAAATCGCACATCTAGTATTTCGTGTCAGGCTTTGGGCTTCCCTGGTGGCGCAGATGGTAAAGAATCTGCCTGCAATGTGGGAGACTCGGGTTCCTTCCCTAGGTTGGGAAGATCCCCTGGAGAAGGGAATGGCTACACACTCCAGTATTCTGGCCTGGAGAATCCCATGGACAGAGGGGCCTGGCAGGCTACAGTTCATGGGGGTCGCAAAGAGTCAGACACGACTGAATGACTTTCACTTTGTCCGTTTAACATGATGATTCTGAGATTCAGCCACACTGTTAAATGTATCAGTCNCATGGACAGAGGGGCCTGGCAGGCTACAGTTCATGGGGGTCGCAAAGAGTCAGACACGACTGAATGACTTTCACTTTGTCCGTTTAACATGATGATTCTGAGATTTAGCCACACTGTTAAATGTATCAGTCGCTCATTTCTTTTATTGATCAGTAGTATTCCATTGTCTGGGTATAGCACATTTTGTTTATGCAGCCACTTTATGTGACAGTAGGCTTGCTGGACCAGATGGTAAAGTGTGGGTTTCACTTTTAAACAAATTGACAAAATGCTCCAAAGCAGATGTGCCAGATAACATACCATTCAGCCATGTGTGAGATTTCCAGTTTCTTCACATCCTCGTCAACACTTGATGCTGTCAGTCTTCTTAGTTTTAGCCATTCTAGTGGATGGGTCTTATTAATGGTGAGTCTTATTAAGCATCTTTTCCATGAGCTCATTTGCATATCCTCTTGCATAAAGTGCCTATTCAGAACTTTTTCTCATTTTTAATTGAACTGTTAATCTTATTAATGAGTTGCAAAAGTTCTTTATATATTTTGGTTGAAGTCTTTTGTTATTTATTTTGCAAATATTTGCCTCCAATCTGTTGCTGGCCTTTTCATTTGCTTAACGGTGTCTTCTGAAGAGCAACAATTTAATTTTGATGACACCTGATTTATTGATGTTTTAAATGATCACAGCTATTGTATCATATCTAAGAATTTTTCCCCAAGAGAAATTTGAGTGACACTGTGTTTCTTGTTCAGTCGCTAAGTGGTGTATGAGTCTTTGTGACCCCATGGACTGCAGAACACCAAGCTTCCCTGTCCTTCATTATCTCCTGAAGTTTGCTCAAATTCATGTCCACTGAGTGATGTAAAGGTCAACAATCTCTATTTTCCATATGGAAATCCAACTGAAATACCACTTGCTGAAAAACTATTGTTTCCTGATTACCTTGGCACCTCTGATAAACATCAACTGACCACATATATCAGGATTTATTTCTCAACTTTTTCTTCTGCACTACTGATCATATATCTGTCCTTATATCATTACCATACTTTCTGGATCACTGTAGCTTTACAGTAAAAGTTGCAATCAGGAAGGATGAGTCTTTCAATTTTGTTCTTTTTTCATATTGCTTATGCTATTCTAGGTCCTTTGCATTTCTATATACATTTCAGTGTGAGTTTATCAATTTCTACCAAAGAAAAAAGCCTACTGAGATTCTGATAGATTACACTGAATCTGCAGATCAGTTTGGGAAGCATTACCAATACTGAGTCTTCTAATCCATGAGTATGGTATATATTACATTAATTTAGTTCTTTTGTTTCTCAATAGCATTTGTAGTTTTCAGCATATAGCTTTTACAGTTTTGTTTATTCTTAAGCATTTTATTCTTTTTGACATTATAAATGAAATTGATCTTCTTAAAATTTCATTTTCAGATTGTCCATTACTAGTGTATAGAAATTTATTATTGATCATATATCCTGCAATTCTGATAAACTCATGAATATTCCAGTAGCTTTTTACATGGATTATTTAGGATTTTCTAACTACAAAGATCACCTTGTCTGTGAACAAAAACAGTTTTATTTCTTCCTTTCTAATTCTTTGGCTTTAATTTCTAATTCTTACCTTATGGTTCTTGACTTTTGTATCTCAATCATTAGCAAACTTCTCTTTAGTACACTGTATATTGACACAGCCTTTTCAGGAATGCTGAAATCAGACTTCTGTATGTCCTTTATGCGAGGGAATGACCATTTTTAATTAATGCATAATGTCACTGTCTATCAGTCAAAAATTCACTTTCAGCAGCTGTCTTTGTTTATAAAACAGTGTTTGGATAATTATTTAAAAAATCCAAACTGCATTTTGTATTCATCACTTAGAAAAGAAGGGATCATTAATAAGCACAAGTCTCATACACTTAACAACAATTGAGTCAAAGATGAAGATCATTAGGCACGCTGAGAGTGGTGATTCTTTAGCCTCAATTAGGTGCTCATTGGAGTAAGATTAAAGAACCAAGCACAGCATAGTGAAAATACAACACATCAAAGCCCATGTCTAAAATGCAAAGTATAGTCGGTGATTTTATAGTCTATTTTAGGTCTTTAGGAATCATAACTGCCTTTCTGATGGGTGGTTGTTAAACCTGAGCACAGTTCAACTCACAGACAGACTGAGACATGGTTCTCAAAGTGTGGGAGATACCAGGACTTCATTTAATCTTACAAAATTTCTGAGTAAGGTATGCAAGGATATGCAATTCCCATTTACAGCTTAGGAAACAGATACAGAAATTGAAGTAACTTGCTGAAGCAGCTACAGTAAGCGGTGAAGACAGAATTCAATCCTAGGTCTGTGTGGCTCCAGAAGTTCTTAACTGGACTCCTAGTTTCCTGAGTAACCCATTTGCCTGATGCTTATTCTAAAGCCCTCACATTCCCGCCTGCTTCCATATCTGGTACGGTTTCTAGTCTTCTCTGCAGTTCCCCAGTGACTCACAGCTACTATGCAACCAATGGGGAAGAATCTACCTTCCAGGTTTGCTCTGTCCCAAAATACCAGTCTGATGGCTTCAACACTATAATAAAAAGACGTGAGGTGGTAACATAAATAAGACACATGCGCATAAATGTAAACAGCTTAGCTTGACATAGATGAGTGACTTTCCTTTCAGTGTGGGGGCAGAAATGCCAAGGAAGTTTGAATATGAAAGGGCATTAAAATTTGGGGGTATTTTTTTGGTATTAAAAGCTTTTAAGTGAGGTAATTCAGGCTTTTCTCTGCTTTCATTTTGGGGAGACACATTAGAAAATGAATGCATTCCAAAGAAGAGAAGTTAGCAAAAATGCTATTAAATTGTAGGTGGGTGATAAAGCTCAGCCTTCTCTCAACACCCTACAGAAAAATTCTAACCCTTGGGTGTACATGACTCAGACAGGAATCTTTCTAACTTGGGTTTGTTAAGTCCAGAAAAGAGGAACTGTATTTCCACTGACAGTATACAGCAAGAAAAAGGAAACAATATCAAAAGTGCTTCTCATTGTACCTTAAGTAAACACTCACTAGATGTTTGGGATTTGTTGGTTAATTACAAAACATTTGAATAGGCTCTTCTCATGAAACAAACACTATACTAATCATACTCCCTGCCGCCCCCCCACCCCCACCACACACACTCCCCAAACTCTGGACAATATACAAAACCAGAAACAATGGTCTTAATCCCTGCTATGTTATCCTCTGAGAAGTGAGGAAGCCGCCTGGGATGATCTTACCCTCTGATCAGCAGACTTTTGGAAGATAATTTTTTTCATAAACCCCATATTTTATGTCCTGTACCAATCTGTTCCCTCCTGCAAATATAACACACATCTTACAGTCCTTATAATGCTTAGACATGAACAGCAATGACTTGGAAAATTTCTGTAGTCGGCAATATACTGGAAACAACCTACATGACTGAGGCACTTGCTGGCAGGGCCATCAGAGAGAAGAAGGGGCCAGTGACTGTAGGTCCACAGCCTGTTGCCTAATTTTGTAAATAAAGTTTTATTGAAACACAGCCATGCCCATTCATTGATGTCTTCTCTAGGGCTCCTTTCTTGCTTCAAGGGCAGAGCTGAATTGTTGCCACTGAGACCATCTGGCCTACAAAGTCTAAAATATTTACTACCTAGCCCTTTACAGAAAAAATTTATCAATCTTTGTGATAATACATTTAAACTAATATGGTGAAGTACTCCAGTTAGGGCAAGATGAAAACAAGAAAGAGAAGATCCACTCTTTCATATAAGGGATCACATACTCAGAATGAAATAAAACAAAGGAAAGTGGGCACAGAAGAGACCCAAAAACATTAAGCAGTGAGATGTGGGTGGGGGGGGGAAGAGCGGCATCATGGATGGTTTTCTGTCCCTCATCTGTGCTCCCATTTTCTAAACTGACCCTACAGGTCATTGATCATAGAATAAACGGAACCTCGCTTTAAACCTGATTTCGGCACGCGCATCCGTCCCGCACAGAGCGGCGTAGCTGGGTCCGGCCCGGGCCCTCCCGGCGCCGGCCGGGGCTGGGGGCGGGGAGGCCAGGCCCCTACCTTATGCTCGTCCCGAAGGTGGCTGTCCAGTTCCTCCGTGTGCTTGGTCTCATAGTAGCAGAGCTGGCACTTGTAAGGTTTCAGTTCATTGTGCTTTTCTATGTGCTGCTGGAGGCTCTCGTCACTGGAGCAGGTGAAGGTACACTTATCACAGCGGAAAACTACTCCCTGCAAGTATTTGGACAGTTTGGACCGGCACACTTCAATGGGGACAACCCGCTCTTCTGTGGAAACAAATTGAATACAAAGATGGGAACTTTTACTGATGGAAAGCAGATGGTCTTTCTTGGGAGTATAAGGAAAAATTCCCCCATCCACTATTGAAACTTCTCAAGGCTGCGGGTCTGTGAACTGCACACAGACCTCCTCCCACCCTCCCACCCCGCCCTGAGTCAACAGTCCACTGGGACACGTGGGTGTTTCTAAGGCCAACAGCTCTGCATACTTGATACCCAGAATGACCTATAAATAGGAGTGGGCAGGCTGAAAGGTGCTGGCGGATTTCTGAATGGAGGTGATTAAAGGAGGAGACAAGAATAGAAGTTTCACCAACATGAATGGTTATCAGCAGCAACCACCAGCGCATCTTACTTCCCCGGCAAGTGGGATTTAGGCTCACACAGACGTCCTTAACCACCCCAGCATTCCTGCCTGGGAAATGCCATGGACAGAGGAGCCTGGAGGGTTAAATACAGTCTGTGGGGTCATAAAAGAGTTGGACATGACTTAGCAACTGAACAACAACAACAAGATGTCCGTAAGGGGGAAGGAAAACGGCATTCTTGGAGCACCTATGTGGCACCACTGTATACCTCCCTGGCAGCTCTGTTAGGCCGAAGTTAGTCCCATTTCTGCAAAGTAGTAAAACAGGAACTGAGCTCTCAAGTCCCTCTCCAAAGGTCACAGACTCTGTAACTGCCTAAACTGGGACCCCACCCATGTCTGTCTACAGAACCGCAAATCGGTTCTCTCCCATCATTTCCAATTCCATTCCTGTTTCCCCTTCCAAGACGTTCTCAAGGAGACTGTTTGCCTGTTCTTGAAACCAAAAGAATCTCTAAGATCAAATCTGAAAACAAAGAATCCTGGACACTTTCATTCACTGAAACTCCAACCCCACCTAGGGAAGAGCTCCCGCAGATGAAATGTCTATAGGCAATCTTCCAGGAGAGGTGGGGTGGCGGTGGCGTGGGAGATGTGGAGGATTTGTGCCTTTTCAGATAAATCTGTAATGTGATTGTCACCAAGGGAGAAAATAAAAGAGAGAGGATTTGGGTGCTTTTCCCGTTGACATACCAAATGCTGTAGGGCTGGAAGAGTGTGTGTTCTTGTTTATTTTGTACTCTCTCACCCTTGTGTTTAACTGCTCAAATTAAATTTCACACCAGTCTGCCCAGAGTATCGGCACACGCGCCAGATATCCATAACTGGGATAAAATTAAAATCTGTGCTATTTATGCAAGGATCAAATATAGCATGTGTTTTCATGCTGTGTCTGGATTTCAGAAGACTCTCAAAGTTTACAAATGGACGCACACAACATACACTTATATTATTTAGAAACAGCAATGTATTATTAAGTCAGGAAGGCGCGCTATATCCTCGGTCACCAGGAACAACATTCACAGAGCATCAGAATACTGTGCGCTGAAGTCGCTCGCTCTGGGAGCCCTCCCTCTGGGGCTGGCCTGTGTCTGGCCCTTGGGCCAGTTTCTCCCACCAGAAGGCCTGCCTGCCTCTGAACCAGCACATGCTCACTGCAGGGCAGTCCCTGCCTTCGGCGTCCCTGAATGCAGCGATTAATTGGCCAGCAAGAATGTGGGCAGAGGAAGCGTGGAAGGTTGGTGTCTGCACCATACTCCCGGGAGCTCTAATGCATATGTTATTTTCCCTATACAAAGAGTCAGTCGCTTATTTAGAAATATAAATATTTTTAAACCAAAGTCGCGCAGACAGCTAAGAAACACATGATTATAATGGAATCCACACATTTTCTTAGAATAGCAAATGTTGTAACAGTCTTCTAACCATTCAGTTAGTTCCACGGTTTGGTGTAAATGGGAGGGAAAAAAAAAAGCTTTGGTGTAAACTAATGAGCCTGAAGGAAGCCAGGGCTATGACGGTCGTTCTATGCTTCTAATTCAGGACTTCTCAATAGCAGTGCTACTGATGTTTTGATGCCAGATAATCCTTTCCTCTGGGAGGTTTCCTATGCATTGTAGGATGTATATCAGCACCCCAGGTCTCTGCCCACCAATGCCAGCAGTGGCCCCTCTGCCCCATCGTGACAACAGAAAATGCCTCCAGACAGCTGCACCATGAGAAGGCACGATGGACCCTGGTTCAGACACTGCTCCAAGTCAAGTGCCAAGTATTCAGTCCAACCGCCCTGGATGTGTAGACATCAGCAAGCTGGCGCCCACGGCAAGAGATGGGGGTCCAGGCTGAAGCCAGGAGACTGGCCCCCACACCCTACACCTCAGGCGGTCATGGGGAAGTGTTGATGTGAACTTTTCTGGCACCTTATTTGAGACTTGCACCCCCCTCCCTTGCTCTCTGTGTCTGTTCCTGATTTATAAAATTTTGCCACTTCAACTGCTTCCCCGCTCTTTCTTTGGCTCTGGCCTGTCCCGCCTGCCCTGCTTCTGTCCATCTCGGTGGAGACGGAGAACAGCTGGCTATAAGTTTCCGCATAATGACGCCTCCAACATCTTGAAGACAGTCATTCAGTTGCTCTCCAGCCTTCCCTTCTCCACTGTAAATAATCATTTCTTTCAAACTTGTTTTTTCTTATAGGTCTCCTTTTCAATTCCTTTAGTTAGTTTTCTCTGCAGTTTCCAATTTCACTATGTGTGTCTCAGTGCACTTTGCACAAAGTCCGGAGCATTCAGAATAATACCTTGGAGGTGAAATTGTAACACTGAATGGAAACGGCCACTCCCACTTATTAAGAGCTCACTAGGTTTCAAGCATGGTTAATGTGTTGGACTCTCTGGGCTACTTTTTATTCTCATAACACCCTGCAAAGTCAGTTTTGAGAGTCTTCAGTGGAAACTGAAAACAGCTCAGTTCAGCTACTTCCTCAAAGTCAGCCCTCTAATTCAGCACGAAGTTGTGGCCTGGGAGCCCGGGTCCGCTGACCTTTGCCTGCATGCACCCTCTTCGGTCTCTCCTATAAAGAACTCTCCAGTCACATCCAATCTGTATGCCGGGCACTTCTCAGCCTTTTATTCTTAATAGTTCAAAATCGCAAAAGCTCTCAGTGTCTAAGGCAACCATTTTTATCTGAATTTCTTTCAAGTATCTACTGGATTTCATAAAAGGTCATTTCCCTGATGACTTATTCTGAAAGGTAAGACTTCCTCATTTCCAAACTAACTACAATAACTCCCAACTCTCTTAGTTATATGGGTTATGGGTGTTAATTTTAGAAAAGAAAGTTACCTTTTTTCCCCGCTTTCTACAAACATGGCTAACAGGACCAAGATAAAAAAAACAAGACAGACTCTGAAAGGCGGGCGAAGGACTGACAGCGTTTTCTGAATGAGGTTATTCATGGTGGAGGCCAGTGAAGGACAGAAGCCGGGAGACTGGACTGTTTCCAGGTAGGGCCTGAGCCCTGTCTTGGCTACGGAAGCTCAGCCACTTGGGGCTTTTCCTACAGGGGGCAGCGACAACTGTGGGTCTTTTCTTGACTTCACACCTCTCAAAATTACCTTGGGTAAGAAATCAAGGCCTGAATCACACTCATTGTGACTCAGCTTCCAGCACTGGCTGCAAAAATATTATGACTTCACCAGTTTTGACTACAAGATAGATCGTGTCTCTCATCTACTCATACTTAAAAGATACTTAAAAGTGCTGCAGCTGGACACAAAACTCGAGAGGTTCCAGCCTGGAGCAGTGCCACCTTAAAGCACGTGGGTGCTAAGGTTCATCAAGAGCCCAGAAGTATGTGCTGGGTGGGAAAATAATCTATAAAATCGCTACTACTAAGGGAGGGGGGGTCGGGGGTCATTTCTACTAAAAACAGTGAAAAAACCCACATCACTGTGGAGCCCAGAATCACCAAGTAACAATTCTTCCTGAAAGGCAGCCCACAACTAAGGGGGGGGGGTCGGGGGAGAGGGGGTCATTTCTACTAAAAACAGTGAAAAAACCCACATCACTGTGGAGCCCAGAATCACCAAGTAACAATTCTTCCTGAAAGGCAGCCCACAACACACATGGGTTTCCTCCCCACAATGTGCCAGGCGGGTGGCAGCGGTGGGGGGGCTGGGTGTGGGGATTTGGAAGTCACTCATTCCAACCCACTCTGAATGCAGACTGCTGTGGTAGAGGGCTGAGACCCTCGCTGGGCCAAACCAAAGATCTACCTGTTACTCTAACACACAAACCAGTGACAAACGCTGAGGACCAGAAAGCCACCATCCCCAAGTATAACCATAAACAGGCACATGTAAACATAAGCACAGCAGTTCCTGTAAAAAGTTGTTTTGACATTAGCCAAGCTACCCTCCTCAAGCCAGACAAGAGCTGGGAACTGTACCTTTAACAGGAAGAAGTATGTGATGGGGATGAAGGGAACATGTAATTTCACTGAATAAGGTGAAAGACTGTCAATCTCACTGTAGTATTTTTTTTTTCTCAAGAAAAAATGATACTGATCAGATATATGAGGGGAGATTAGTTCTGTTCCAAAAAGATAACCCACCTGCAGGGTTCAGTTATATTTAGCATTTATGTGTGTATTGAGGTTACAGGCTAAGAAACAAAAATTTTAAGTTTATAAGCCAACTGGAGACCAATCTCAGTGATTACACAGCTCCATAATTATAAATATTTGATGAAACTGTTTCATGCCTATAATTCAATTTTTGCCCAATTTCTCAGGTTTGCTATAGGTATATAAGGGACATGCAGGCCAAGCAACACATGAGGCATTCACTGTGCTCCCAATGGTTATAAGAACTCAGTAGAAATGTACTCTGGCTTACTTGGTGGCTCAGACGGTAAAGAATCTGCCTATGATGCAGGAAGCCTGGGTTCGATCCCTGGGTCACGAAGATCTCCTAGAGAAGGAAATGGCAACCCACTCCAGTATTCTTTCCTGGAGAATCACATGGACAGAGGAGCCTGGTGGGCTACAGTCCATGGGGCTGCCAAGAGTTGGACATGACTGAGCAACCAAAAACATTCACGTACTCTGAAACTATTTCTTCCCTCATTCACTGTCTCTCTTCCTACTAAAGTTCACACTCCTTTGGTGCCCAAACCTTGCCTGACTCTTCTGGCAGTATCCCTAGAGCTTAAAGCAATGCTAGCATGTGGTGGGTGTTCAATAAACATTTGTAACATGAATGAAAACCCTTCCAACATCATACCACTTTCTCCTTGAACCAGAAGCCTCAGGGCTTAATTTTTCCCTGGTTACACTGGTCCCATCATGGTGAACCTCATGAAATGTTGATCTGACTTAAGTTCATGGTTCCTCAAAGAGATGGGTCTATAATCCTTGGCTTTAGTCTCTGCTAAATTAGAACTCACCAGGTGTTTTGTCAGTACCCTGGCTTCCCATCTGTCTACAGAGTAGCATTCTACTCCTGCGATGGGACCAAGCCCTCTTTCATTTGACCGGAATATACCTTTCTAGCCTTGCCTCCTAGTACCTTCTAATTTCACTCTGTAAACACATCTTCCTTCTACTCACCTGGGTGGTTTGTTAAAATTTTCCTTACACTCTGTAATGAGTCAAATGGAGTCCCCAGAAATTAATGTCCACCTGGCTCCTCAGAATGTAACTTTATTGAGACCTGAGGTCTTCACATGTTAGTCAAGATAATGTCGTACGGGATTAGGGTGCGCCCTAAAGTCAGGGTAAGAAGAAGAGAGAACACACACAGACACACACACACACACACGCACACACAAAGAAGGCCATGTGCAAAGGGAGGGAGAGACTGGAGTGATATGGCTACAAGGCAAGGGATGCCAAGCAAAGTCGGGAGCCAGGAGAAGTTGGGAAGAGTCTAGGAAGGATTCTCCCCTAGAGTCTTCAGGGGGAACACAGCCCTAAGAACAACTGCATTTCAGACTTCTAGGCTCCAAAACGGAAAAAGAATCCATTTCTGTTAAGTCCCCTACATAACGAATACACCCACCTCAAGTTTTCTCTGACTGCTGAAATGTTATCATGGATCAGTTTAAAAGCCACCCCCCTCCACCACCTTTCTCTACTGCAAACAGAAATACATCTGCCACTGTCAATCTCCTAGATACTTATCACTCACTATCTTAAACATACTTACGCACACACTTCATCTTCTTGAGGAGGGCAGACTGGCTCAAAGAACCCAGCACGGTATGGCAAGGAACAAGCAAATAATACATGTCTTCTGAATGCATGGGCCAACAGAATGCTCTCTTTTGTAGCAGCTGATGTGATTCCATGGTTATTTCTCATTCAGATCACCCAGGAGTGGAATGAATTCCTTTTTCCTTCTTGCCTATTTAAATACAGCAATTTGTCTGGACAAAAAGCTAAGGAGACTCTATTCCTGCAAGCAGCAGCTTATTCTCAGGGCCAGTTCAGAAGTTGTTTTTCTTGCCATTCATTCCAAGTATTTTAATTAACCAAAGTCTCAGAAAGATCTTTTACTGCAGGCCCCAGAGACCAAAGATGTTTATTCATCCAGAGTAAGGAGAGCACAGGTGCAGATTCAGCCACGTCTTGTTACTCTGAGCTCAGCCCCAACTCAAAACTGCCAGGCAGACACCCACCCAACCCTGTCTTCTTTGTCAAGACTAGCTCCCCACTGAGCCACCATCTTGACTGAGATGGACCCCAAAGCCAGGATGCGGATGGCAGACATGCTATCCCAAAGAGCCCTGCCTCCCTGTGGCTCAGTGGTCCCCGTCTCTGACCCCCAACCTTCAGACGACTCTATCCCCAGACCCAGATACCACAGCCACTGGAATCGACGGAGTGACACCAACCACCTTCCCAAGGGTGAGAGAGTGATGCCTGGTGGGTAAAGGCGTGGACCGGGGTGAGGCAGGCCTGGGATCAGATCCCAGCTGGGTTGTTTATTAGTCATTTGACCTTGGGTAAGATGCTCAATCTTTCTGAACCTGTTTGCTCCTTGTCATCAGGGATAATGGTTAACACCCACCACTTAGGGTTTTGTGAAAATTCCATGAAACGACTCACTGGAAAGTACTCAGCACAGCACCTGCTACCTAAAAAGTCCTCAGTGACAGTAACCATCGCTGTCGCTGTGGCTGTTGTCGCTATTACAACAGTCCTCAAATACTCATGTTCATTCCAGATTGCGCACTTTCTGACCCCCATGAGGACAAACTCTACACATGCTGATGCTTCTTCTCATATAAATTCTCTCTATAAATCAACAGAAGAGACTGTAAGGAACCAGTGACAGGCAGTACGATGGATGGATCTTGGGATCAGAAACCTGGGGCTGACACACAGCTTCCCTGCTCACCGGTCGGGTGACTCTGAACTACTTGTACCCTCACAGGTCCAGCGAGTTCACCACTGTTTTCAGGCTGGGGACAGCATGCACCACTTCATACACAGACCCCTCAGGAGAACCCCCCAGAGAAACCCCTTTCAGGTTCTAGCACCTCAGCCTCTTGAACATTCAAAAGTCTAATGAATACCCCAAATCCAATTGATTCCGTTGTTATCTCCCCCACAGTGGGCCAGAGTCCCAGGGCTGAGACGATAGCCTGCTGCTAACGAGAATGCTGTATCTTGTGGCAGACACCAAAACTCTAGGTGACTGTTCTCATACTTCCACGTGAACTTTCAACTACTTTTTCCTTACTCTGCATTTGCCCCAATCTCCTTTCATTTTCAATCCTACAGTTCTGCACAACTATCTTTAACATATCTTCAATTCTTTGTGAAATGATCCTAAAACACTACACTAAAACAAAGAAAAAATAGTTTTTACCAGCTTCAAGCTTCATATACTACATTTGACTACAGGTCAAAGTATCGTCCCTCCCACTGTGGCTGGATGATGAAGCGGCTATGTGTGAAAAGTAGTGAGTCAGGTGTGGCGTGCTCCAGGCATTAAGTGTTTCTCTCTGCCTTCTCGTTTCCTGGACTCTCAGCTCAGGGAAGGAAAATCAGCGAGCTTGCATTAGGCATCAAGACTCTGATCCCAGCAGGCATGTGTGTGTTTAAGTGTCTGCAGTCACGTCCAATTCCTTGTGACCCCACAGACTGTAGCCCACCAGGCTTCTCTGTCCATGGGATTCTCCAGGCAAGAATACTGGAGTGGGTTGCCATGCCCTCCTCCAGGGGATCTTTCCGACCCAGGAATCAAACTGGAGTCTCCTGCATCTCCTGCACCGGCTGACGGGTTCTTTACCACTAGCACCACCTGGGAAGCTTGATCCCAGCAGGCAGCAAATGGAAACAAGAGACTCCACTGCTCAGGTGGGGTCTTAGAGCTCCTGTCTGCTCCACAGCAGCATGACTCACGGCCTCCTTCCAAGCAGTGGAGGACATGGAGCCCTTGACAGACACATGGGCCCAGGGACCAGAAGCCACGTGACGGAGGCAGCACACCACAAGAGATCCCAGAAGCTCCTGCCTAAACGTTCCTGCACGGCGTGCAGGAGGATGTCCTCGCCAGCAGGCATCTCACGCCTCGAGTCTGCCTGGGGAGAAGGGAGACCTGGGGGTGCTGAAGGTTGATCTTCCCTGGGGTCTGTAGCAGATGTGGGTGACATGTCACAAAAGGCGCCGGCCAAAGGCAGTGGCTCTGGGGAAATGCTGGAAACACTGGAAATGCCCCCCCGAATACCCAGTATTTCAGAGCAACATCCCCGCAGGGCAGCAGAAGACACTTAATGCATTTGAGTCACAGGTGGCAAATGCTGAAAAGCTTTCCCAGGTTAGAGGCAAAGGAAGTAAGATAGGCAGAAGGGGAAGAAAGGGAGGGAGGGAGGAAGGAAGGAGAGACAGAAAGGTCAGCAGGTGGAAATAGTAACGGGTACTCTAGTCATCTTTTTCCATCCACCTCTGGCTGGAATCTCTTCCGGACAAAGTATAGTTGTTACATATTTTTCCTTCCATTGCAGAGGGCACATGCTTAATGGTTTTTAATTGGCCAGCAGTAAACTCAGTTCAAAGAAAAAACCTAAAAGAAGTATCCCAATATATCACTAAATGAAGTATCCCAATATATCAAAGAAACCAGCATTTACAAACACCCAAGATGCATCCAAATGAACACACTAGACATTCAACACGCTACCTCAGAGGCACAATCATCATCTCTTTATGGAGAAGAGGTAAAACAAAAGAGGCTTTAAAGCCAGAATTTAAACCCAGTCTATGGCGTTTAATATCTATCAGGGTGGGATTTCCTGGCAGTCCAATGATTAAGACTCTGCCCTTCCAATGCAGGGGATGTGGGCTTAGCCCCTGGCTGGGAAACCAAGATGCCACAGGCTGTGTGGCACAAACTATTAAAAAAATAAAAATTAATATATTTCAGGCTACTTTTAGTTTTAGGAATTTTCTCCATCCACTTCAAGGGAAATCCCACATTCTGCTTTGGAGATCATCACTCTGGTCTTCCTTCAAAGAACTGCTTACAACCACAGGGCTCTTCACCTTTTACCATGAGTTCACCCACCCACTCTACTTCTCATTCACTCCCTCCTTAGCAAGGTCGTGAGAGCAGAAGACTCGGGATGTAAAATCTCTCTCTCAGGGGGAAGCCCCGCAGAAGTGTTCACTGCGGACTCCATCACCTTTGCCTCCTTCCAGGTGGAGGAAATCCTCTCAGCAGGAAGATGCCCTTACCCTGTTGGCTGTCCCTGGGGTGACTGCTGTGATTTCTTTTGGGGAGATAAGGGGAGGAACAAGGGACCGGGGCAAAGGTGTTGCTGCCACCTTGAGACAGCTTCCCTCTAATGCCACCGGAGCCACCCTCCTCCCACCCCTTGCATCCCAGGAAAACCAAGCTCAGAAGGTTACCTCGGTGCAGCACAATGTGGTCGATCATGTTGCGTTTGTATTTGGTGTGATAGAGGCAGAGAGGACAGCGGAGATCTTTGGGGCCCTCCTCGGGGACCGCCGAATGCCCGGCTTCCACGTGCATAGTAAAAGCAGATCTGGGAGGGAGCGGGGAGAGAGGCGATGAGTGGGACCCAGATGCATCACACTCACACCCCTTGCCAGCAGTCCTTTGGAGACACCCTGCTGCGGGGGTGGGTTACCCAAACTTATAGTGGTTCATCGTGCTTGCCGAGCACAAGTTCCTCAGTCATTCGGGCAATGACCGAGCACTCTTCTGCAGTGGTCACTTCTTTGGGGGAAATTTTGCTGCTTGTCTGGGCTCAGGGCAAGTTTGAAAAAAAAGAGACTCCCCATTTCACTTTTGAAAATGAGCAGCTGCCTGTTAAAAATATAAAACAAAACCCCTACAAGAATGGATTTCTCATCACGCTTGGAAGGAGAAGCTGGGATGATTCATCAGCTGCCTCGGTGACTCTTCCCAGGGAAGGAGGGAGGGCTGGTTGGTTAGGAAAGCAGGATGGTTGATGACCATGTAAAGACGCTCAGAGCTGTTCTACCAGCTTGAACATGGAGGGTACCAGTGCCTCCCTCGCGCCATCCGTTTCAAAACTTCAAATTTTACAAAGCCTTAAATGTCTCATAAAAATGGATGAAACCCAAAGTTTAATGGGCAAGGTCCTCTTCTTATTAACCTGAGTACCTCTCTCTGGGGAAACATGTACACCTGTCAATGGGCCCTTGTTATCTGAGTCCTTCTCGACATCTCTCAGTTCTAAGGTCACATGCATATTTATCTATAAAACAACTGAACCACATTAACAGTCAGAGATGTTACACATTTTCCATCAAATCCCAATGACTAAGATGTTGCTGAAAAAGAGACTTGTTTTTCTATCAATTCAAGTTTGGAGGGCTTATGAAGCCCATCCTCGCCAGCCTCTCCATGTGGAGTATGTATTGAAATACTGGAGTGACCTAAAGCCAAGGCTCTGACTGCAACAGGAGCAGATAATAATAGCTTCATATCTGTACTATAGCATCTAATCTCATTATAATAGCTTTCAATGATACAAAAACATTTTGCATTTCCTTTGTGCCAAGCACTTTATGGCTTCATTTATTATTTTCTTACTCCTCACAAGAGCCCTATGAGGTAGGTACTATTATTATCTTTATTTTACAGATATGGAACCAGAGACATAGACAGGTTTATTAACTTGTCCAAAGTCACACCATCAGTAAGTGGCAAAGTTGGGGTTCAAACCCAGGCAGTCAGGCTCCATATTCTACACTTGTAATTATGACCCTAAGTGGAACCTCCCAGGACGAGATGAAATCACAGGAGCTTAGATTAAATGAAAGGAAGCACTCCAATCTTTGTTATACTAAGGAGCAAAACTGACTGTGGATTATCTTTCTCTATGTGGGAACAATCTTTCTGTGATTGTTCAAGTTTAGTCTTCCCAGTGTGAAGTCCTGGTTCTCTTTCAATAATATGATCTTAAGAAATAAGAATTCTTTACAAGGGTAGCAGAGTGTCACTATCGCTGGATATTCTCTCTTGACTTTGCCTTTGCTTCTGAGAAGACTATTTTTCCCAGAGACAAAATAAAAGGTGGGGAGGTGGAGGGCATAGTTTTCCAAAAGGGAAAACACTCACTGCTTCATGCACTGGGTCAGGGAAATCGTTCACACTCCTCGGGCACCCATTTGCTCTGATTTTTAAACTCACTGGTTCTCATATAGCTCTTCATCCCTTCCCCAAACCCAAAAGCAGTCTCTGGAACTAGCCTCCTTTTGTGAAGACAGGACCCTACTTGTTCATCATCCCTTGGGCAGGGCCTGCCTTGAGCTCCAGATAGAGGAGTGTAAGGGAAGAGTGTAGTGAGGGGCGGAGCAGGCGCAGCCACCTTGTTCCTCAAGGCTGTTCTTTACATCACTTACTTAAAGCCTGTGTAAAAGGAGCAGTCTTTGCACTTGAAGAGCTTCTTCCCTCCGTGCTTGTCCCTGTAATGGCGCCTGATGCTCTGGATATAGCCAGAGGAGAATTCACAGAATTCGCAGTGAAGAATGGCTTCCGTTTTCTGCTCAGCGCCCCCCGCGGCCCCAGAAAGAGGCACAGGGCTCACACGGCTGTTGTTTCTCGCCAGAGCAGCGGACTGATAGTGGTTCAACTGCTGCTGAACATCTGGAGGCTCAGAGTAGGATGAGTCTGTGGACAGACAGCGGAGAATTAGAGCAGACATGGAGGACACAGGGGAGGTTCGACACTTGAAAACCCCTGAAAGAAGTTTTGAGTACTTTTTTTTTTAAGGGGGCTGACTGTGATCCCAGCTTTCATCTTCATTTACATTCTACAACGCATCTCTGGGGAAAGGCAGGAAGCGTCACCTCTTTTAATCTGACTTTGAGGGTTCATGGCATTTAAAAATAAAATTCTGAGGTTAAAGGTTTCAAAGTGAAGGAAGAAAGTAAACTGTTTTTTAAAGGAAATTGCAGTGTGGCAACAGGCTGCCACAGAATACCCGTCCCTGTAGGTGAGATAAATGAGCCCGCATAATGTACACAGGCATCCGCACGAGAAAGAAAAGTAGAAGATGCAGTATCTCCAACTTTGCAGAACAGAATTATTCAAGCCAACCGGAAAAAAAGAAAAAAAAAAAAGGGTCTTCAACAGAAATGCTCAAGCACATGGCACTCACAAATATAAAAATGTTTTATGCCTTCACTGTCAAGTGATTTAAATTTTAAAATATAAAAATCCAATAGTGTTCTCCAGGAATGGATGTTTAAAGCTTAGTCAGCATTAAGATGGAGATTTATTCATAAATCCCATTAAAATGAAATTCCAAACAAGTCTCCCTGAAAGGTATTTGAAAGTTCTGCAATTCGGAGGAAAACGTCGGAAGCGACAGGCACAAATCTTAAGCCTGTGAAGCTTGACTGGCATGCGGTGGGGAAATCTGATGTAAAAGGCAGGTGAGAAAAATCTCAGTTTCCTCTTTAAACAATTTTTTTTAAGTTTAAAAAAAAAGAGAGAAAGTGGGGGTGGGGGGGAATAAAAGGTCTTCAACCTTTTCCCAACACACCGATCTGAATGTTGAGGTCAGGAATTCACCAACACTGTCATCAACATTGTCCTGTATAAACTATGGCTACCCATGAAAGACACAAATGGACTCTGTGAATCCCATACAGATGAATTTTAGTGTAACTTTCCTTGAAAAGAAAACAAAGGGCTCTTTTCTTACGCTTTTCAAAAAAGCAGGGGTAAAACAGGACAGAAACTGTACCAGCCTCCTCCTGATTTGATGGACACTTAATTTTCCAAAGTGTGACTCCCCCAGGTGGGACACACGAGGGCTCTGTAAAAACCCACATTTGATGAAACTGGTACCATCCATCCCGTTGGCCTCTTTGAAAAGAAAAACAAAAACAGCGGCTTCCTGTATTGTGGGGCCACCTCCTGTCTTCAAAATACTAAAATACCTTCCCTTCTTGTTTTCTCCTCCCCCTCCTCAATTTGTATTCCTCAGGGTTGAGGAAATGAAAAAAAAAAAACCCTTTGGAAATTGTAAACAAACCTGCCATACACACATACAAATAAAACAAAAGGAAACTTGAACAATATCTCCAAGCCTCCATGGGTTCATTACCAGGTGTAAACCGAAGACAAAGGAAGAAAGAAATGACACAACTGAATTCATTTCACCCGATTCTTTTTATCTCCTTTTTCTTTATTCCTCGACCTTAGCTGATGAACCCACTCAGGATCAGAATAATGCAATTGTCAACTTCTCTTTCTTTCCCTCAATAGCAGGTTTGTTTACCATTTCATGGATTGTTTGAGATGTTTTCTATTTAAGCTCTCAACACTAGTTGCTGTTTAAGACACACACACAATGAAGCAAAAGGCACTCTCTGCCCGCCTCTCTTGTTAACAGGAACGTAAGCTCCTGGGTAAGTACCACCACCCCAGGACCCTGGTCAGCCCTAACCTCTGGGCAGCACTGGTTTTGGCTTGCCTTCCGTTCTGTAGGAAAGAAATTCTGCAACTGACAAGGCCACAGTCAGGTCCAACTGCCCTGAGTTGTCGACCACTCACAAGCCTACCCAGACACCAAATCAAAGAACAGTCCGTTTCTCAGTAAGCAGCCACCACTGCCTCCATCGTGGGCTTCACAGGTGGCTCAGTGGTAAAAATTCTGCCTACCAATGCAGGAGATGCAGGAGACTTGGGCTCTATCCCTGGGTGGGGAAGATCCCCTGGAGAAGGAAATGGCAACCCACTCCAGTATTCCTGGAGAATCCCATAGACAGAGGAGCCTGGTGAGTTCATGGGGTTGCAAAGAGTTGGATACAACTAAACAACAACTACCTCCAAGACTCAGCACCCGCTTCAGTGAGGCCCACAAGTTAGCACGCATGCTGGCATTCACCTCGGACACAAGACACTGGACAGCTTCAATCCCTTTATAACAAAATCACAAAGTGGCTCCCAATGTGATGATCAGCCAGGTCAATCTGTCTCCCCTACCTTCCACCACACCTAGTCTAGCACATGAACAACTCTCTTGGGTAAATTTTCCCAAGGGGAAGACATTTGACAATACATTTTTTCTCATTTCTAGGGTCTAAGGCGTATTAATTACTCCATTGCAAAAAAACAAATTTTTCTATTTCCACACTGGTACTTCTGTGATATGAAACTTGAAGAAATAAAAATGCAAGAAGTCGTGGAGAAAGCATTCCAAGAGAGGAAATTCATCACCTGCCTCAAATGGCAGTGTGAAAAGAACAACTCTACACACCTGTGTCATAAAGTTCCTTCTTTCCTGGTTAGAATCAGGTGGACAGGTTTACTTATGAAAATAAGCAGATTCCACACCACTTGGGATTCATTTGAAAGAATGCCAAGGTGACAATTTGGGGGTCTCCTGAGAGCTTTACTGTCCTCTCTTGTGCCAAGACACACTCTTCCTTGCTCTCACTTGGAGTTTGTGAATAATACAAACTTTAACACTTCAGGCACTAAAGCGACGAAGATCTGAGTAGGTCTGATTTCACTTATCCCAAAAAAGTCTACCTGCCGAGCTACATAAAATCACAGTTTGTTTGCGAGGCCCGGCCAGAAGAGCAGAAGAGGGTGGTTTCGTGCCCAGTTAGAAAGATAAACAGATTGTTAGCAGTGAAGGGTATGTCACATATGTTAAAAATCATCATTAAGACTATTTTCTTTCATTCCAAGCTTAAGAAAGGAAAGTAAAAAAAGAAACCCTGTGCTTGCTCAGAGGGCCTGACTTACGGTCACGGGAACATATAGCAGGTGAAGCACAGGAGAGTGAATCCAGAGAAAAGCCCTGTACTCAACTGTAGGCCACACAAGTTCCATCTTTACCCCTGGCATGGCCAGAAATATCTACAATGGAACCAACATCCAAGAGGGTGTCAGTCCATCCATTCTTAATCCAACCCTGAGATGTGCAGTTCAGCAAAGAATGCTGGTCTCTGACTTGTGACTATTTATTTATACACAGAGTTTGTAACACCTCCTCAGATGACGATTTTGTCTTTTTGAGGTCTTACAAATAGCTGAGAAAAGAAAAGCAGCAAAAGGCAAAGAAGAAAAGGAAAGATATATCTGTTTGAATGCAGAGTTCCAAAGAGTAGCAAGGAGAGATAAGAAAGCCTTCCTATGTGATCAATGCAAAGAAATAGAGGAAAACAATAGAATGGGAAAGACTAGAGATCTCTTCAAAAACACCAGAGATACCAAGGGAACATTTCATGCAAAGATGGGCACAATTAAGGACAGAAATGGTATGGATCTAACAGAAGCAGAAAATATTAAGAAGTGGCAAGAATACACAGAAGAACTATACAAAAAAGACCTTCATGACCCAGATAACCACAATGGTGTGATCACTCAACTAGAGCCAGACATCATGGAATGTGAAGTCAAGTGGGCCTTAGGAAGCATCACTACAAACNAGGCAGGAGAAAAAGGGAACGACAGAGGATGAGATGGTTGGATGGCATCACTGACTCGAGTGACATGAGTTTGAGCAAGCTCTGGGAGTTGGTGATGGACAGAGAAGCCTGGTGTGCTGCAGTCCACGGGGTCGCAAAGAGTCGGACACAACTGAGTAACTAAACTGAACTGATACACAGAGTTTAGGAAATTATATTGCAGTTATAAAATAAATTTAAGTTATATGGAGCTATTCATTTTGTAAGCTGTCTATAATAGGAAAATGATTCTGTAAAAGTAGGCTCACACTAGAACTTTAGCATGGACAGCTACAGCGTTTCTAGGTGTGGGTTTGGAAGTTACCAAACAACCAGCAATGGATTCCCACAACTGCGTATGGCATAGGTTCTCATCCCAGTTTTACCAGTGAGGTTGCTGGGGCTGAGAATGGTTGGTTACCCAGCTACTGAGAGGCAAGAGGTAGGATTTGAACAAAGATCTGTATGACTTTAAAATATGAGTCTTGTCTATTACGCATCTGTACTCAACAGGTTAACCTCTGGGGTCCCACGAAGCAAGTCAGAAGAACACCAAAGAACACCTGAGTGTTCCATTAGCAACACACTCACAGCAGAGAGGAGAAAGAGAAGGTGGCAAAAAGACAGAAAGTAATATCCGAATGGATAGAAATTAGAGAGAAAATAATGTTCAACTGAATACCAAGAAAACACTAAAAATGAGCATTTCAGAGCACATGGGGAAGAAAAGAATCAACAAGGTAAGATTTCTGGGAAAGGAAAAGAATATCTAACATTTCAAAATGCTTTATAAAAACACACAAAAAGGGACCACCCAGCAGGCATGTGCATACACGTGCTGCACAGGTAAGCACCGCCAAGCACCCAGAACTGGAGATGCACCGGCCCACAGGTCATGCTTTGATTAGATGCTGGATAAACTGCCCTCAAATAATAACGCTCTAACATGCCTTAGGGGGAACTTGGCTGGGAAAGAAAGGTATCTGAATACCAATGGGAGACAGGTGCTTTCTGGTGGCTCCTGGACAGCTCAGGACTTCAAACCAGAGAAAGGGCTAAGTTCCAGATGAGACCTCCTGGCCCTCTCATTCAGTCAGGTTCTTGGAGAAATGGTAAAGTTCTGACTCTCATTCCAGCTCCCCAGAATTCTGGCCAAACCCAGGTTAAGTATCCATTCAAAGAGTTTTTTTTCTCTTTTTTTCT